AAATTATTTTAACTATCCATTTTAATCCAAAATTTTCTAGCAAGGATATGATGGTCTTATCCAACACGATCCTGGCTCACCTTCGACAATCGGTTGACCTGAAGGAAAAACAGGACACTAACGACTCCAAAGTGTCCGACCAACCTGCTCAAGTCGAATTGTCAATCTATTTCTACATCTCGATCGGTTTTCTCCTTGTGAATCCCTTGTTTCACGCGTCCGTCGTGTCCTCCGAGCCTTGCGCGCCTCAATTCCTCTCCTCCCTCGTCGCCAACTGCACCCAAGGTCGGAAAGAGATCTCCCCTCTCTATGCGGTCATCTTCTCTTGTATAGAATTCTACGGCGTGACGGTCATGCTCTACTGCTGGTCGTTCAATTGGAACGTAATATTTCTGGGATTGGCGTGGATTTTTATGGAGCTGAAGAAAATTCGGTAAGAGGTTTCGACTTAAGTTCAAAATGCTTCGTAAAGTATTTGTTTACGCGAAATGATTATAAGTCTCATGATTTGTGGCTAACGTTAAGCTGGATGACGCATCATCAAAATTGTCAAAAAAAGCCTAAACATTTTAAATAATTTCACAGATCGGGGAATTTATTTTAAAATTCTGGATGACAAATTTGCTGATTAATGGAATTAGTTTTTTTAATTAAGATAAGTCGGTTTCTATGAATTCTAATTTTTCTGAAGGCTTCTTAAACTGGAGATCTCCTTCAAAAACAGTCAAAATCTGGAATGTACATTTTTTTCAAAATTGGCCACGACCCGTTTTACAAATTTGTCATCCAGACTTATTTAAAAATAAATTTCCAGAGTCAATTATTAAAAATGTGCTGATTCTGGCGATGATTTATCGAGCCTAACGCTAACTGTAAATGTCTCATCTTCCCCAGGCACGCTATCATTCACCGGTACAACGATCTGTTTAAATACCGCGCCGTCGAGCTGATCGCTCTCACTCTGAACTACTCGGTGGAACTCTACCTCACCGCATTCCCCACCATGCTTTTCATCGTCCTCGCCCTCCTACTTTTCGGCACGGTCCGACTCTGGCATCTCGACCTCCGGGGGAATTTTTTCTTCCCCTCGTGCGGAGTCAGATGTGGGTACGAGGCCATGTCCCCACTCGCGCTGGCCGGCCGCGTCAACTCGGAGTCAAAGCGGCTCATCCAGGCGTGGAAGTTGAGGAAAGGAAGCCGTGCCATGGAGCGATTTAAGCGGTCTTGTCGCAGTATAAAATGCGCGGCGGGGGCGGTATACACATTCGAAAATTCCATCCTCATAACCAGTCTGGATAATTTGGTCGCTCTTACGTGCAATCTACTAATTGCGATTCATTAAATGCTACTTTTGGCGACATCATACATAGTTGTGTTTGTGTAGATGACATGTTCATGAATGTATTTACCAGGAGTAGTAGTTCACTTTGCCTATGAACGTTCAATCTTAAATTACATACAATTTACGAAGGACAAATTTTGCGATGAAAAAAATCCCCATTCAATTTTCCACAAAACCTCATTTTTTTCCAGTAAAAAGCTTTGCAAAATCTCGGAAATTTTGTGACAAGTGATGGCCAATATGTAAATACATATGTATGTGAAGGGTACATATGTATATATGCTAGTATGCACATGTTGAATTAGCCCAATATGAAAAATGAAATATATGTCTAAAGTTCAGAGTTGTATGTAGCAATGCTAGGGTAGATTATCGTATAAAAACGCACTTGCATACAAACACAATGCAAATAAAACTCACGTGAAATATGTAAAATACAGTGTAATCAAACTACTTGCTAAAGTGACATTTATTTATTTTTGCTCTATTAACCGAAATTTAAAATCTGCAGATTTGTAAAACAGAGAAGCTTCTTTTACATTTTTATTCTCCACCCATTCGTCCCTCCACCCAGTGAGGTTTGCTTGATTGCCACGCTTTCAAATACTGAGGTGCTGTCCCCACCACGGTGAACATCCACCCGACCAAAGGTTCCATCGTGACGCCATCCAATCTCACTCCATATCCGACATGGCCCGCATAAAGGGTGGCATTATACTTTGGTAAATCCTTTGCATACTCGTCTGTAATTACAATCGGTGCACTTACAACCCCCGGAGTCAATTTATCCACATCCAGGGTTGGCCAGCGATTCGCAAATCTAGGTTTCCTCGTGATAGTAGGGTTGTGATAATTAAAATTCTTATCCTCTTTGTCACATTTGTCAGTAAAATGTCTTTGACTTATAAAGTTTTGATTTTTATCCCGATTAGTTTGCCACTCCCCTTTTTCATTAAACACGCTAAATACTGTTATCCACCCATTTAAGTATGTTTCCCCGGGCCCGCCGCAACCTTGTTGGGAATAATGGCGGGCAATGCTTTCCCAAAACGTGTAATCAATTCTGCCCGTTTCCTTGACTTGGATAAAGTTGTCGACCACTTCTCGAAGTAAAATGACCCACTCTTTAATTTTCTGACCCCCCGGAAGCTCATACTTCTCAAGGTGCCCCACTTTCGCCCTAATTTCTCGCCAATCTTCCAAACTTCCCAATAAAGTTATTTCTGGGATGCCGCACATAATCGAGACGAGGTTATATTCAAAATACGACTGCAATGTAGACATCATCACTGCTCCCGCTGTTACCATGTCATCCGGCGTGGTGGTCGTAAAATTGGGCATTATCCAGTCTACAACATTTTCGTTCACGTTTTCTCTAATTTGGTCGACCGTTCTGTTAATAAATTCATCTATCGGGACGAGGTGAACGGGAAGGGGAAATACTACATGGAGTTCTTTCTTGTCCGTAAAATTCACAAATTTTGTCCGCAATTGTTCTGCATGGGCGTTCACGTAGTACGAGAATTGGACCAGGATGGCAATCCACACATCGTCGGGACGGATGACGAGGTTGTGATGGTTTTTATACGCGTTAAACACAGTGTCAGTAAATCCTTTTGTGGGTATTAAATATTTGATGTCTTGGTTAAGTCTGGACATGAAATTGGTGGCCTGCACAGGGATAGACGCGTTTCCATGGTGATAATTCAAGTAGAGTCGTCCATGTTCGATTAAATGGCGATTGAGCAGGTCGTGGTGTAATGGAGGCTTTATTTTTTCCGGGGTGACGAAACGTGACGATTTAAATGTTATTGATTGTACGGCATAATTTTTGAAACTTGTTAGTTTTAACGAATTGGAAATATTTTGAGTCGTGAGGATGAAAATTATGTAAATTTGGATCAAATTTGAGGAAACCATTGTGACAAAGTTCGACCCGGCGAGACTAATGACAAACTGTGATGGTATTTGCGATTGAGAAATGACCGACGTTGACACACGAATACGAGATTAATCCGAGGCATGGGAAAATCTTTTTCATGATATAGGTAACGCCAAAGACAGGTATGCAAATCATTTCCAAGTATTGTGTACTGGTTTTTGAGATATGAACTTTGGGATTTATTTAACCCTCTCACTCAAGAAAATTATCAAGCAGCTACATACATACATACATACATACATGCATTGTCCAGGTTGTTTATTATGTATAATTAAATTCTACAGCTAGTATAACCTGATGAAGGCTCGTACATAAAGCACGTGACAGGTTTTGGCAAAATTTTGTAAACTGACGTATGTATGTTTGTACCTACATACTACTTATCAATTTATTTGTGCACCCTCCCTATTGGATGGAGGACATAGTGCATAATAAACAACAGCATATAATATATGCTGTTGTTTATTATCCGGTCCGGCTAATATATGCCATATATTAGCCGGACCACGTAAGAGCAGGACAGCGAGCAGACAAATGTGCAGTGGAAACTATTTACCGTCCGTAAGAAAGACATGGGAGACCAGTGGTGCACCACCGCCATGTATTTCTTACGGACGGTCAATGGTTTCCACTGCACATTTGTCTGCTCGCTGTCCTGCTCTTACGTGGTCCGGCTAATATGTATTGTGATATTCCAGGGATTTTGCACTTGGGGGTTGCTAATTTGGGAGATTAATTTGGTGCTACTAATGCATTTGCAACAAATTAATCACAAGGCACAATCCTTCCAAGTGCAAAAACCTTGCTGATATTCCATGAACAAGGCTCACAAATGTTACATCTTTGTTAATTGTGTATCTACTTTTTTTTAATTTGGACTGGTCTTGCATGATATTTTACAAATAACATCTATGTAACTTATAGATGTACTTATCCCACATAAAATCCATTTGTCCAGAATATCTATTTAAATACAAGTCTCCGAGTTCATGAATAGTATTTTGTGTATGTATGTACGTACAACGTTCATAGATAAACCGAAGACTATGTATGTATGTAAGCACGAAATTTGTGTGAAAGTCATCCCAGTTATAAATTGATTCTCGGAAATAAAAGATTAGTCATAGATGTACATACATATACATAGAGAATAAAAATTCGTGTAAATCTTATCTCAAATGCCTCAAATAATTTAAATAAAGTGTATAATTACATATATGTGTACGTATGTATATACATATTTTGCAGATGAATTTAATACATCCTAGATCAAACCGCTTCCATCCATGAGTCATAAATACTGTGAATTTTGTTTAGTTGAGAAGCAGACTTTATGTAAAATTTAGTGTGCCATTAATGAATAGCTTAGTCCAATAATACATAAGCCATGCATCCAATGTATGACACGCTTGAAAGTTCAAATATATGCAACCTACTGAATACATACATGCATGCATATAAATATTTGAAATTTCGGGTTTAATATTTCCTGGAATAAAACCAGACCACAAATGCTGGTCTAATTTAATTGAAAATATATCATTGTAATGCAGACTTTAAATTATAATTGTTGACGCAAACGACAGATGTATGATTTTAGATTCTTATTTTGAGCAATAGCACCATATGTGAACAAAATAGACTAATTATAAAGTTGAACTTTATCTGGTTCGGGTACATATGGTCATGATTTATAATTGGTTAAATAATTGGAAATTCCACCGCCACTAACGATAACAATATAAAGCCTTCATGTCATTTTGACGTGAGCAGATTAAATCTCGATCCTAACCTGGAAACATGAAGATCTTTTTTATCGTAGCTGCAACGCTTGTAGCAGCCGTCTCGGCTGGAACCGTTCCCCATGGGTTTTCAGGTAAGTATTTTTGGCTAAAATTCTTATGGGAAATGACATCTCAAATTTTTCGAGCGAGGGCACTTGAATATTTTGCCTTTATTTATTTATGCATATATTTACATATTGTGTTAGATGGCGAAAAACCGAGCAAGGGTATTAAGCACTTTGGAGGTGGAAGATGGAATATGAGCACAGGGGGAGGATGGGGTAATCAGCAAGGGGTGGGAAACGGTTGGGGCAATAACAGGCCAAACGGAAGTTGGATTTCTCAAAACAATCGTCCTAATGGTTGGGGTTTGCAAAATGGGCGGCCAAACGGTGGGTGGGGCAATAATAATGGATTCGGAAATTCTTGGGGCAACCGACCACAGTGGGGAATTCGACCACCATATCGACCGTGGCACAACAGGCCAACGAGACGACCATATTCGACAACCGCGATTCCCTCGACCAGTCCCGCAGCGCAGAACATAAGCACGACAGCCGGCGTGTCTGACCTTCCTTCAACAACATCTGTCGTAACTGATGTTCCTTCAACAACAGCTGTCGTAACTGACCTTCCTTCAACAGCTGTCGTATCTGACCTTCCTTCAACAACCGCTATCGTGACTGACCTTCCTTCAACAACCGGTGTCATAACTGATGTTCCTTCAACAACCGGTGTCGTATCTGATGTTCCTTCAACAACAGCTGTCGTAACTGACCTTCCTTCAACAGCTGTCGTATCTGACCTTCCTTCAACAACCGCTATCGTGACTGACCTTCCTTCAACAACCGGTGTCATAACTGATGTTCCTTCAACAACCGGTGTCGTATCTGATGTTCCTTCAACAACAGCTATCGTAACCGACCTCCCTTCAACAACAGGGGTAGTAACCGACCTTCCTTCAACAACCGCTGCAGTGACTGACCTGCCTTCAACAACAGCTGTCGTAACTGATCTTCCTTCAACAACCGCTGTAGTGACTGATCTTCCTTCAACAACGGATGTAGTGACTGATCTTCCTTCAACAGAAGCTGTCGTAACTGATCTTCCATCAACAACAGCTGTAAATATACCTGTTTTCCCTTGAACGCAGGCTAATCTTCAGCTTCCTCCTTTCAACGTTATACATGTCTCGGATATATTTATTTGAAGTTTAATAAAAATTGTCTTAATTTCAAAATTTCTACGGGATATTGCAACCAGAATGTAAACTACCTTAATTAATTTTCTGGTAGATATATTTGTGTCCATCCGGTGGTTGGGTACAAAATTTTGTGCGGTTTATTGCTAAATTTATTAAACTCAGGTAATTTCCGGTGCATATCTATATTTATTTCATGGAACAGTAGTCGATTTTAGTTTTAGTAAATCTCTGAAAAAAATAGTCAATTTCTAATCTTCATAAACTGATTACGGTTGTAAAAATTTGATATGAATTGCATAGGGGTATATGTAGCGAAAGGTGGAACGGGTTATTCGCGGATCCGTATATTTAGAAAAAACATCCGAAGCAAATTACAATTTCCTTTCATATCTTTACCCTATGAAATGTGTGGGTAAAAAGCTTATGATAATTTTGTATAGTTTAGTATTTATGAACTAATTAACTAATTAAACTGATAAAACATTTAATCCAATTCACACTAAAACCCATGTGTTTGACTTATGTATGTGTAAATAAGTAAATACACAAAATAATAATCTTACAAACAAGTACTTATTTACATTGCAAAAGGCAAAAAGACATCAATTCTTTTCGAACCACGCCTAGCTGCTTTCATTATTCTTTATATCGATCAATTAATCGATGATCAATTAGCTGAAATACATATATTTTTATTAGAAATACTTTTACATGCTTTTCCGTACATTCAACTCCAAACTTCCATCAAATCCAACCATCCTCCAATCCTTATGGAGCATATATTTCCTTTGAAATTCCTCCCCGTAAAAAAATTTCTTCCACCCCAACCACCTGGTTTGACTTATCAGGTCATCCCATTTTTTAAGCTGACCCGATTCCTTTCCCGGTGTCCTTTGACTTTTGAACGTGTTCGGGACAAGAAACAAATCAGATTCAAATTCGAAGTGTGTAGCGTATCATTTGTGTTTTCTGTAATTGTCGCGCTATTTTTGCATATCGCTTTATCAATTGTGCACCTACAATATGGCAACTTTCTTAAGCATGACTTATTTCAAGGGAGCGGAATGTGAGTAAATATGATCACTACACTGTTAGAAATCTGGTAAAGTCAGGCAGGTAGTGATTTTCTGGTACTCAAATTGCTACCATTTGTGTTAAAATTATAGCGGTCTGCAAAAATTTGCTACCGATGTGGTAAAACTCTAATACCAAGCTATTACTACACAGTGTTACTCATCAATAACACTGTTGAAGTCATGAATGAATATCGCTTGGTATTATTTTAATACTGGATTTCTAAGAGTGTAGTAAAAAAAAATCCGATTCATTAGCGTTGCTGAAACTGGCTTAATTTGAATTGCAATCTTATAACAATGGGGACGCAACTACAATAATGCAGATTATTTTTTGGCCATGTTAGTTCGAAATAGCAACTATATGGAAACAACTTTTAGTGCGGCACTTGTGCAGATACGAAAAATTCAGCAAGTTAGCGAAAAGGTAAGATTTTCCTAAAAGTTGCGCTTTTTCGCGAACTTGCGGCGCCCAGGACTTGCTGAATTTTTCGTACCAGTGCTAGTACGGCACTACATATTGTTTCTAAAGAATTACTCTTCCGCACTAAGAAAGTCAAAAAATAATCTGGGTTGAACATGGTTTGCGTCCCCATTGTAAGTATAATTTCTGATAATTTTGTAATTGAATTACACAGTTGGCCGCCACCAAAATTGAAACTTGTTTACAACGTACAAAATCACGTCTCTGCATTTTCTTACGGGTTGATCACGTCCATCAGTTCGCTGTACGTTGTCATCTCAACAATTGATTACTTAATCGCTTTCATTAAAGCACCCGAGTTATCAAAATTGCTAAATAATTGGAATGACATTGAGGATACCATGCAAAAAATGGGTTTTGGTCGGGATAAAATAAAAATACAATACTTTCTCCACTATTTTATTCCGTTCTTTGAACTCATACCAACCCTGATTTTTGCAAGCATGGTAACCCTGTCGCGATTTGATGTCGGATATCCTATTAATTCCGTATTAGCCATACTCTACGGATACCTGCCTCACACCTGTTACGCTGTGGAAGACTCACAGACGCTAATTATGCTGAAATGTTTGCAAGTCGAGTTCCGACAGGTTTTTAAAATTTCTTGAAATTATGGACTCACTCAATTTTTTTCAACGTAAAAGAACCATTCATAAATTATGTAGCACGAAGAAGGAGGGTCTAAGGCTCCAGTTATATCGTGCCTATTTGTTGCAGGTTAACGGGGGGAGGGGGTCTAGAAAGTTGAGATTTTTGCGTTACATAATTTATGAACGGCCCCTCCGACTCAATGACTCATCTTCAAAATCAGCACATCTTAAATAATTTCTCGGCTCTGGGGTCCTATTTTAAAATTATGGGCGACAAATTTGTGGAGGAAGTCGTTGTCAATTTAAACAAAATACACACTCCAGATTTTGACAGTTTTTTGAATGCGGGGATCTCGAGTCTTCAGAAAAATAGGAACTAATTGGAACTGACTTGTCTTAATTAAGAAACCTCACCGCCACCCTATTAGCGAAACTTTCTGACTTCAAATTTGCAGTCTAGAATGTCAAGATAAATTCCCAGAGCCGAGAAATGATTAAACATGTATTGAGTTTGATGATTTTGGTGATGAGGCATTCAAAGTCCTACACTAACTTTTTTAAACATGGTTGGCACTTTTTTATAGGTGCGCAGTTTTCTTGAGAAAAACTTGAACGAAGGACAAAACGAAGTACCGATTCGAAAAATTCACCTGATTCTAGTTAAGTTGCGATTACAAGCGAAACGTTGCGGTGAGTTTTTAGCACCTCAAGAACTCCTCTCGATCTTCATGACGATGTATTCCACGGGTGGGTCGTTCTTCATCCTGGTGACCGTTTTAAGCGATCGGTCTATTGAAAATAGCGTGGGGGATTTAATCATGATTGCGTTTACCTCAATCTGGCCATTGCTGGGGATAAGTCGACTCGTCGCAAAAATTTGGATGGCAGTGACAATAACGAAGGAGGTGAGTGAGTGACAGCCAGATTTGTATGCTGTTCTTCCAAAAAATCGTGTCATCTCATTTGCATAAATATCACAATATACTTATTTTACGGGTCTTCCTTCAAGTATATGCTAAGTAAATAAAAATCGAAATATGTAAATGAGATTACAGGATAAGTCGGTTAAATTATGCCCCAGCGATATATTAATAATTGTGTTTGTGACTAACAGGAAATGGAGATTGCATCTCTGCTGAAGAATGAGGAATTGCAGTCAAAACTTGGCACATACGGAACCGAGTATTTTTCGGAGGTACGTTTTTGCATTCATGGTTTTTATTTGAAATATTAAATTACTAAGATTAATGTTCATCCAGCCAGAACCAGGGCTTGTGTAATTGTCATGTCCGTCCATCCGTATGCCGGTCTGTCTCTTTGTCAATTACTCTAGAAAGCATTGACCGAGTAGATATATAATCCTGAAGTCTAAAGTAAAACTTGATTTTTTTTTTGGCTGAGCTGAAGCTAATTCATGCAAAGTGCTGGAGTCACAGTGGAAAATATTCAGACAATTTCATAGCTGACGAAAACGTTTGCTAATAAATCCTGGTTCGGGCTATGCAAAGCTGTACTGAAAGTTTTTTTATCTCTTAGCTACGTCAGGTTTACAACTTGTTGACAGCCAATCCCACCGAGGTGTCCTTTAATAATTACGTGAAGTTGAACAACGCTTTGATTTTGGGGGTAAGTATAAATTTATGTATTTCACTTTAACTTATTACAAATTATTTATGCATCTTGAAATGAGATATTTCATGAAATATTTGTGCATGCACATAATATTTATTTGTGTAGGTCTTCCAGCAAATCTTCACACTATTCATTATTCTGATGCAGTTTCGTTGACATGCCTTGTCTTGAACTTGCGATACATACACCTCTTACTCTTAGAAATTACTTATACTTTACATAGATGCAATATGTCTGTTATGCTTTAATACATGTACATGTGTCAGAGCTAATTGAATTACGTATGTATGTGTACGCAAAAACCATTGGCGAAAACCCATTACAAAATAAAAATCGTAAAATAAAAATAGAATTTCTATACGAGAAATTAAACAACTTACATATATATTTCAAATTTGAACTTGTAGATATTTAGTTTCACTAGACCAGCTGTGGGGAAGAAAAGTATGAGTGAGATTTGACGGGTGCATTGATATGGTGGTCGCGTAGTACAAAGGAGTACGTCTGGGGCTATACCGGGAAATGTTTCCTTCGATGGAGACCGGGGTCACCAAATTTTTGCACTATACCGTTATTTCTCATTCCTACACAGCATGTACATATGTAGATGGAAACATGCATATTAGTTATAACTGTTATAAATAGATAAATACACGTATTCAGAATGCCTGATTTCTCCTATAGTTTAATTCAATAATTCTTTATTTCAGAAATTCTTTAAACAAATCAAATAATTTTATGCCATCAAATTAAAAAACGACCAATTTCTCTCGGTAATAGTTAATTCGGCTCATCTTCTTTTTTCCCTGTTGGTTGCGTTCTAATCACATCAGCGTTTACACGTGTGACCGGAGGACCTGTAAAATAAAGTATGTATTCATGTACCCTCGTAAGTAATTTGAAAATAATGCACTACTACAATTTTTCTTCGTGTATGTATATTCTTACGATTATCGCAACACCAGTCGTATTCACAACAGAAAAACACCCAGGTTGATTTACCACAAATTTCGCAACAGTCGTCACACTCACTTGGACTGCTATAGTAGTCCATCGTGATTATTATTCTGATTCTTAAATAGAAATTATCGTAAAATTTATAACATTAGCTTTGTTCCCCAGCCTAAGCTATATATTTAAGCTACGTATTATTTTTCTGTCTACCACTAATCCTTAATAATTTAATATGCACTGAGACGGTAACGTCGGAATATTGTTGTGACAAATTTCCATCCAGTGACTCATTTTTCACATGCAAAGTTGTTATTTTAAACTTATGTATTCAAGTATGTATATAGTCAGCTTTTCCTCAATATTTATCAAAGTTCACTTAATATTAGTGAACTGATCGATATGTATATATGTATGTAAGTATATACTAATTAATTGTTTCATGCATGTTCTAAATATGTCACAAGAAATATAAACAACTTGCATATTTCAAACTTCAACTTATAGTTGCATTAGACTAACATGTTTGCATTTGCATGCAAATATGCATATTAACTGTTGTAAATCGATAAATACACGTATTCACATGCACAAGCAGAGACGAATGCTTAATTTCCCCTATAGTTTAATTCAATAATTCTTTCAGAAATTCTTTCTACAAATCAAACAATTTTATGTCATTAAATTAAAAATGGACCAATTTATCGCGGTAATAGTTAATTCGGCTCATCCTCTTTTTTCCCCGATGGTTGTGTTCTAATCACATCATCATGTACACGTCTGAGCGGAGGACCTGTGAAACAAAGCCTCCTAAATAATTTGAAAATAATGTATTGATACAATTGTTCCTTGTGTGTGTATTCTTACGATAATCGCAACACCAGTTGTGTTCACAACAACAGAAAAATACCCAGGTTGATTTTCCACAAATTTCGTCACAGTCGTCACACCCACTTTGGCTGCAGCAGTAGTCCATCGTGATTATTATTCTGATTCGCAAAATTTATAACATTAGCTTTACACTACCACTAATCCTTAACAACTTAAAATACACTGCGGAGACAACGTCGGAATTTTGTTGTGCCGAATTTCCATCAAGTGACTCATTTTTCACATGCAAAACTGTAATTTTAAACTTATCCAAGTATTTAGATAGTCAGCTTTTCCTCAATATTTATCGAAGTTCACTTAATATTAGTGAACTGATCGATATGCAAAACATTTAAATTACATATGTATGTATTTATATTTACTAGTGTGTACTTATTTCTTCACGACACGTCGAGCTTAAAGTGTCGCGATGGAGAAGATTATATGTAAAGCGAAGTTTAATATGTCATCAATCATACTTATGCGAAGTTTTTAGCGGGTCGATATTGATCCTGACATGAAATATGTTATCAAATTAACTGTCTCATCTGATTTACATAGATACATACGTATGTACATACGGATGCATATACCTCATAGCTTTTCAAATGTTCGTAAATGTAGGAAGACTAAACTCGTGACCATTAAGGTTGGGGTGGTTTTGTATGTATAAATACTTTTAGGTTAATTTGATCATATGACCCCAAAAACCTGTGTGTACTTAACTTACTTCAAGTATGTATATATAGTATAAACTTTAGACTTTATTACAATGGATATATGTGTGTGTATATTTATTTATGTCCATCTTAGGCATTTAGAGATGCACGCATCAATACTGAATTAATGGCTTCCGAGCATAAATATGATGAATAACAAGCAATTGATCAGTTTGAGACCATACATATTACTATTTATCTCACGAATTTCATTCCTAATGTATGTATCGTTACTGTCCATTGTAAATACACACATCTTATGTACATATGTACATAATATGTGGCTGTCTCCATGAAAAGGGACCTTACTTTGCTCATTTTCCACAAGCGGCAAAATACCACAACAGAAAACTTTCAGCGAAACCCATTTTGTCAAAAAGCTGAATTGGCGAAATAAATATTAATGTTAAGCATTCCACTTCAAATTTAAAACTTAAGGTTGTACAGGTTTGCTTTACCTAATAAAATAATGAAATTTGCGCCTTGACCTTTTTGAGGACCTTAACGTGACCTAGACACTTAACCTGGGGCGATAAACCTGAAATTTAAAACGTAAGGTCATTCAGGCCTATGCAAATCTATTATTAGCGCCATATGAGCTACAATACTAAATTTTAAAACAGTGTTCTAAATTTAATCAGTATAAAAATTTTCGCCAAAAGGTCGTTTTGCCATATTGTCGATGCAGCACTTTGAATTTAAATAACTTTACTTGTAGTTAACAGATTGAGCTAAAATAAATGGCAAATTAAAGCCTGAGGCAAGAACTTTCATAAAAAATTAAAGTCGCTAAAGTAGATATTTGGTGAATAAGGTCCCTTTTCATGGAGACAGTCACATATTTACATACATGTAAATAGTAAACATACCGTAAAAACTCAAATAGTAGCCGTTGCTCAAATAGTAGCCGTGCTCAAATAGTAGCCGGGTCTATTTTCATAATTTTGTAAATAGTGACCGTGCTCAAATAGTCGCCTTGCCCAAATAGTAGCCCTGCTCAAATAGTAGCCTTATTTGAATAGACGCATCTCTATCTCCATACAATCACACTACTTGCCTGTTCATTATGATAATTAAATTATAATTCCACATAATCGCAGTTACACACTATCGAAACGATGAGTTGATGACAGAACAAGAATTTAGCTCATTGAAGAAATTATTGAAGAGCAGGTCGAGCAGAATAATATTCCAATGAACTACGACTCTAAGGGCAAAATTGGCGTTGTTATTAAAATTTAATTTGAGCTTGATTCAGGAAATAAAAATAATAGTCGTATGCAAATAGTAGCCGTGATTCTCTCTTCATAATTTTATAAATAGTGACCTTGCCCAAATAGTAGTCTTGCTCAAATAGTAGCCGGGTCCTAGCCACCTATTTTATAAATAGTAGCCCCCGGCTACTATTTGAGTTTTTACGGTAATTGTTTCATGCATGTTCTATGTCACAGAAAATATTCTGCATTTCACACTGTATGCCGAAAGTAGATATTCGCAAAATAATGAAATATGTAAATACATATTTACTTGTCTTGTGGAACCCTAAAGTTCAATCAAGTAGATAATTAATAAGGCAAAATGGAAACTCCACCCATCATCGTACTCAAACCAACATTTCTAATTAGCATATTAGCTGAGCAAACTAATCCAAAGTGTTCTCAAATCATTTATTGATCATTTGACATTAAAGAAGATGACATTTCCTAAGAAATTCGTCCCATCGAAGATTTTTCCAATTTTCGAATGGGGAAGATTAGTACACCCACCCACACTTCCATTAAGTAAGCAGCTCGTTAATTTCTTCAAATTCTCCCGCCACTTTGCCCGGTGTCCTTTAGAATTTGAAAGTGTACCACATCAACCACAGATTAATTATAAATTCAAACTGCGCAGCGCAGCATTTTGCTCCTCATTAATTTTTGCCCTTTTACTGAATTTATTATTGACCCTGGCCCTACTGAAGTATGACAGTTTACTCGGACATGACATATTTCTAGGGGACAATTTGTGAGTAAATATACTGGTTATTCACTTATTATTGTTATATATATATACAGTCAGGTGCAAATCTTTAGAGCCACCCTTATTTCTGTCATAAATTTTAATCGGGTCATCATTAAATTACCAAATTCGGCAATAATGTGTGCAACACTACCCCACACAAGTGACAGGAACCAGGAAGTCGAAATACACCGCGCACTATTCTTTTCTTACTAAATGTAAAAAATGGGGGGTGCAAAACTTTAGAGCCACTCGGAAAATCTGGCTATTAAATACATGTGTTCAGTTTCTGACCAATACGAACACTTAATTTTGATATCTAGAACCCAATACACTTCCGTTCTTCGAACTTAGTCCAATCCAACTTAGTCGGATCCTGGTTAGCATGAAGTCAGCACATTTTTTCCCTGTTTTCACTATCAACTAAAAAAAATCTTGTTTCAAGTTGTTATCGGCGTCGGTTCAGCTTAAACTTTGTTTATATTTTCTTAGCAGTACCTTACAATGCAGTTGGATAGAATTGAGGTCAGCCGGCGATTTGAGACCGCCCCGCAGATGGGTCTTATTGTCATCGAAACCTTTTCTCGTGGCCTTAAGATAAGGAATATTGGCCCACATTCTTGAAAAACGAGTTTCCTTTGCCCATTCTGGCTTGATTCTTCGCAGTCGGATTTTGGCATAATTCCTGACCACCTTCCGGGTCCATTGCACCACGAGGAAGCTTCCCCTTGCTTGTAGTGTATATCGCCGGCGACCCTCGAATCATTACAAAATCCTCTATCGCTTTGTTTTACGAGAAACCAGTCGGGTCTCACCAAAATCGTGATAAAATGGAAGAAGACTGTCGAAGGCATCCATTCAGAATTATTTCATATTTTGTGAGGTACTGGGTGAACGAAACCCTATACCCACTAGCGCACTTCAAATCGTTGGTTCGTCCATATTAGTTAATGGAGGCTTGCTTCCTTAATTTCGTTAATTCGAGTGAAGGGGTTAGTTCAAAAACTCCTCTAGCAATCCTTTTAGAGTGAGCAAGTTGAAATTTGTACTCGTGAGAAAATCTTGTCGATTGCTGCTGTCAAATTTAATAATTATCCATATGGTTCCCGCTTAGACCTCATCGATCGCCTTTTGTTTTACCATAATGTTAAATGAATATTACCGAATTTCGGCTGAACTAGCAATTCTGATCTATTTGCTTCTAAATCTGCTGGGGAAGAGTACCAGATAACATCAAACCCGATATCCCGATAGCTTCATATTGAAATGGTCATCATTCCCTTCCAATGTTGACATAAATGCGGGAAAAAATTGTAGTTATCCCAAAATGCACACCGATCGGCTTAGAAACTCGTGGTATATTAGTTAAAAATGCAAATTCTTTAAATTCCTTCTCAGACCACGAAACAGAGGATCAATTCGAAATAGAACCTAGGTGGCTCTAAAGTTTTGCACCCCCCATTTTTTACATTTAGTAAGAAAAGAATAGTGCGCGGTGTATTTCGACTTCGTGGCTCCTGTCACTTGTGTAGGATAGTGTTGCACACATTATTGCCCGATTTGGTAATTTTATGATTACGCGATAAAAATTTATGACGAAAATAAGGGTGGCTCTAAAGATTTGCACCTGACTGTATATGTACATATTACAGGCCCGTAGCGACCTTTTGTCCGGCCTGGAGAGTTTGGCCGTGGTACGGCCTCACATGCCCTCAAAAAATATTGAATCCCTGATTTTACCTAGTGTGTTTTATTGCTGACTCTGATTTTACCTAGTGCATTTTATTGCTGACCTTGATCTTATCTAGTGTATTCCATTGAATCCCTGATTTTATCTAGTTCTATCTCTCTACCTCTCTCCACCGTCGCTACGGCGCTGTACATATATGATGATACCGTCCTCGTAAGGATTTGTCACCGAATATAAGTAATATAGGTGCATATGTAAATGAGCAATATAAACCAAAGTTTATCATTGTCCTCTTAACCACTTCAACCCTAGGAGACGAGTTTTTTCATACCTTTCACCCCTAGTAACCGCGAATTTTTACCTCCCTTGACCCCGAAATTTTTATCTACTGCATGACGTTAATTCCTGGGCCATGAATTAAAAAATTGGTGTTCCCACCGGAATTATTCTGGACACTTTTTTTGTGAAAATTGGTATGAATAACCATTCAAGAAGGTATTTTGAGTTGTAGTTTGCATTTTTGAGTTGTGGCGAACCACCAATGTTTATAGCCAGAGAACACCGCGAAGCACGAACGGAGCAGCTACCTGGATTCCGCCCAGTGTCTGTTTTTTTTTTAAAAGAGGTTTTTTTTCAAAATTTTGGATTCCATGTTGAGGTGAGTGCAGTGCTACACCCACCCCGACATGGGAGGAAGTTGCCGCTCCCAGGAAAGTACCTGGTTGTGGAGGAGGGTGAGTGTGGGGGAGAAAGGACTCCCTCCATATGTTTTGTATGGAGAAAGTCCTCACCCACGTCCTTTCACCCACCACAACCTCTACATTTATTTTTTTATATTAATTATGTGGACAGCCATAAGCCCAAATTCTGTGGGCTTATGGCTGTTATATATTATTTTACTTTTTTTTGTAAATACCTCTCCTTCCAGGAACGAAGGAGAGGAACTTATGGAGGAGGAGGAGATCCTCAAACCTGAGGGCGAAGAGGGAGACTTACCTCTCTCCTTCGTGGTTGAGGAATCACTCCTCACAGATGAGGAGCATCCCCCTTTTGAGGATGCGGTTTGTGGTGGCCAAGGGGAGGAGATGGAGATGGGTGGTGATGCAGGGAGTGGAACACTGCCACTACTCCCCATCATCACCACCAAGTTCAACAACAATGGCCCCAACAGCCGTACGGTGAGGAGGAGGGCGAGGAGGCAAAGGGCGAAGGCACTGCGGGCTGGGGGTGCGCCTCCTGCCCCTGCATCCAATGATGACGTCACTGCCACCGCCACCACCACCATCACGGCTCCTACCACCACCACCACTACTACTACTACTACACAAATTGCTACCAACGCCACCGCGACTGGGAGCATTGTCTTCTTCTCCACCCCAACGACTCGGGGAGGAGTGGAGAGAGTGAAGAGGGTCAATCTTCACGAAATTGACCCCTCACTTAAAAAAAAAGAAGCTGCTGGGTCTTCTTCCTCGGCCACCACCAACAAGAAGAGAGGCAGGGAGACCCCAGCCTCCAACAATCCCAGGGAGAAGAAGAGGCCCACCACTTACAGGGATGCTGCGATTGAGGGCAGTGAAGTGGTCATTACTTACAAAGATGACCCTCACCGCCCTCTTTCCAAAAAAGACCAAGAAGTCATCCAGGAGGGACTTCGCTCTGCCATTTACGCTGCAGCAGAGAATACCCAGCTTAAGTTTGGAGGAATTGTGATCCGGGGTGAGGGCATAGTTCTCACATGCCGTGACCCTACCACCAAACTTTGGGCCGAAGGGGAGGTGGACAAGCTGGAAGGGGGGAAATTCGCCACCTGCGACCCTAAACCACCGGAAGAGGAAGTGAAGGTGAGCTTTTGGGTCAGGGAGGCGACACCACCTTTAGCCAAGGTACTCTTCCCCACTATCTCTCGACTCAACAAGGGCATGGATACGACCACTTGGAGGATGACACATTCGATAAGGTCAGGTCAAGGTCATGTCTGTTTCTGTCGCGTCCCTAAATCTGGTGTGGCGGCCTTAAAACCGCCCGCTGAATTTAATTACTATTTTGATGAGTTGGTGTTTCGGGTAACTGAAACACCCCTTCAAAATTAACTTCGCGTCATAACCCTTACTCACAATGACTAACAATAACATCACAAATAATACACCATCACACTCATCTACATCTCTTCGAAACGGGTTGTCATCATTCAATATGACAACCAAAAGTGTGAACTTGGTGCAAATTAACTTGCAACACTCAAAACAGGGTACGACTTCTCTATGTCTCACCCTAGCAGAGTTGCACACATACATTTGCCTAATACAAGAACCGTATTGGTATAGAGGCAAAATACGAGGTCTGGGGGGTTGTGGCAACCTACAATTTTTTTGTCGGGATGCCCACTCCAGCAGATCCTGCATCATCACAAGTAGGGACATCAAAGTGTGGCCCTTGCTTGACTTATGCTGTAGAGATGTCACAGCCATCCGTACCCAGTGGGTGGGAATTGGAGAGGTAGTGATAGCCTCAGTATATATGGATGGAAACTATGCATGCCCCCCAGAGGAGATGCGTCGGTTGGTCTCATACTGTGAGACCAACGGTCTACCTCTGGTGTTAGGGAGTGATACCAACGCCCACCACACCATGTGGGGAAGCACCAATATCAACAGCAGAGGTGCACAACTATTGGATTACATTACACAGGTGGATCTGCACCCCATTAATAGGGGACACAGAGCTACCTTTGTTGTATCCAATAGGAAAGAAGTATTAGATGTCACATTTGTATCCTCCCACTTGCTGGAACGAATAAAAGCTTGGTGGGTCGATGACAACGAAAGTTGCTCCGACCACAGGTATATTAGGGCCAGCCTCAGCCTTGGTCCCCCTGACCCTATAATCTATAGGGACAGGAAGAGAACAAGGTGGGACTTATATAAGTCAGAATTAAAAAGATTAACTGAACTTGACCCTGCGAGTACATGCCCAATGTCACCTACGGATGAAATTGAGGCGAGCGCTAGTAGGGTCAGTAACTTTATCCATAAATCATACGATGTGGCCTGCCCTGAAAAAGTACTCAAATCCAGGAGGAAGAGGGTACCTTGGTGGAGCCGTGAGCTGACTTCTCTTCGGAAGGAGGCTCGCAGGCTTTATAGGGTTGCCCGCTTCGGAGGAGAGGAGGCATGGGCGGAATACAAAGCTGCTCGTAACTACTACTCCTACGAAATGAGGAGGAGGAAAACTGCCTCGTGGAGAAGGTTTTGTGAGAGTGTCGAGGAGGCACCTGTTGCTGCCCGACTCTCGCGCATCCTTCGCAACGATGGCACAATCAAACTGGGATCACTGGACAAGGGTGATGGTGTTTACACCAGGACCCTTTCTGAGACCTATGAATTATTATTGGACCAGTCGTTCCCGAGGGACCCTCAACGGGTTCCATGGGAACCTGATCATAGTAAAGTAGATGATGAATCTATTAATCTGATGATTACATCTTCAAAAATCAGTAACATAATTAACTCGTTTGGCCCACTAAAAGCGGCTGGAAAGGATGGTATCTTTCCAGCCCTTTTACAGCATGGGCTAGCCGAGTTAATTCTGTATTTGGTTCCTCTCATGAGGGGGTGCCTGACCTTTGGCTATACACCTCTGAAGTGGAGAGAGTCCAGAGTGGTATTCTTACCAAAGCCAGGAAAGGAGAGTTACGAACGGGCGTCCGCTTGGAGGCCCATCTGCTTAACATCCTTCCTGCTCAAAACACTTGAGAAACTGGTAGATGGCTGGGTCCGCACGCCTGATCTTGTTGATAGGCTGCAGAGACACAGTCAGTATGCCTATATGAAGGGCGTTTCCACGGAGGCTGCCCTTCATCAGATCGTTAGCCTTGTTGAGGGGGCCCTTGACTCTGGCGAGTACTGTATTGCAGTGATGTTGGATGTTAAGGGCGCTTTTAATGAGGTTAGATCTGATACCATTATCCGTAGCCTTAGGAGGTTTGGCGTCAACGAGGTATGTGTTCGATATATTGAGCACATGCTTCGGACACGAACCACTTGGGTAACTGATTCTACTTACGAGATTGGGAGGGTGGTGGAGAGAGGGTGCCCTCAAGGGGGTGTCCTCTCACCGCTTCTCTGGGATCTGGTCGTAAGTGAAATTCTGCAAAAACTGCATCATCGGTTCCCTCAACTGTACTCACAGGGCTTTGCCGACGATCTCACAACAGTGGGACGGGGCATTGACCTCGGTACAGTGGGGAGTCATGTGCAGAGAGCAGTAAATCTTGTTAGTGATTGGTGCAAAGAAGTGAGCTTGTCAGTCAATGATAAGCTTGCCCTGGTACTATTCACTAAGAAATACAAATTCACTGCTCCTGTGATCAAGTTGGATGGTATTCCCATCCCTTATCAAAAGCAGGTAAGATATCTTGGGGTCTTATTGGATCACAAGTTGAATTGGGGCCCACTATGCAGGGCTAGGGCACAAAAAGGTTTGCGTGCCCTGGCCCAGTGCAGGAGGGCCATTGGTAAAACTTGGGGTCTTTCCCCAAAAATCACAAATTGGATCTACAAATCCATAATTCGCCCGGCCATGGAATATGGGTCACTATTGTGGGCTCCGGCTACACAGGTGAAGTCCCACATGGCCCAGCTGCAAAGAGTACAAAGGTTTGCCATGCTTGGTACAACCGGTGTAATGTCTAGCACTCCTACTGCAGCCCTGGAGTGTCTACTGGGGCTTGCCCCAGTGGATATCCGGGTACAGCAAGTTGCACTACGTACCTACCATCGCCTCGCTCACCACGGCCAATGGAGAAAATGGTCTGGGGGTGATCGGACGATGGTGCTAAAACATAACAAGTTTGTAGAAATCATGGCATCTGGCATTCCAGAATTCCAGATGCCATGTGAGAAACTTGTTAATCCACCAGCAGAGAGGAACTTCTCAACCTCCATCTGTTCGGCGCAAGATTGGGAGGATGGTAGCGTGCCCACGGATGCCGCTGATGTGAGCTGTTTTACAGACGGCTCACGGATGGGCGAGAGCTCGGGTGCGGCTTACTACTTCACATACAACAACCTTGTCCAGGAAGCTGTGAGGTGCTCTATTCCTCTGGGATGGGCACCCACGGTTTTCCAGGCAGAAATTATGGGTGTTATCAGGGCCTCTGAAATGTTGACCGACAATTCTCAGAACTATGGCTTGAACGTTGACTTCTTCATTGATAGTCAGGGTGCCATTAAAGCAGTCACTAGCCCATGGCCAGTTTCATCACTGACTGCTGAGGCTATTGAGATGCTAAATCATATTAGGAAGACTAAGAAGGTAACACTTCATTGGATCCCCTCTCACCATGGATATGAAGGGAATGAAGTGGCTGATTTGTTGGCCAAGGAAGGTACTCTTACTGAGTATCTTGGCCCACAGCCCTCTATTCCTCTTTCCAGAAGCACTGTAATCTCCAGCATTGTAAACTGGGCAAGATTGCAGCATACCAAATCGTGGAAAAGCAGCAAGGGTTGTTTAACTTCCAAAGCTTTTCTCTTTGCCCCTTTATCAGGGCTTAGCAGAAAGCTTTTAACCCTAAATCGAAATAATCTGCGATCAGTAATACAAACCTTAACCGGGCATTGTACTTTAAACGGGCACCTTAGGACAATGGGATTAGTTGATGAGGCCACGTGCCAATGCGGCCGTGGCCCTGAGACTGTATTTCATTTTCTTGGATCCTGTGATCCTGTGACAAGTACTGTGCCCTAAGGTTAGAACTCTTTGGGAGGCACGATTTGCCACCAGAGCAAATAGTTACTATGCCTCTGCCCGATCTGATTCAATTTATAATCAGATCAGGGCGGTTTGTTGATCAAGCTAGATCGGTAAATCGTGAGAGTCATAACTCTGCACAGTAAGCGGTGTATACGGGGAGACTGCAATAAGCTCTAGTGCTTGCGCAGCTGACGGTCCAGTCCAACAATGGCAGGATCGTCACCCCACCAATACATACATACATACATACAATGTTTATAGCCGAAAATAGCCAACACGCCGAATTTTAAAAATGATTGTAATTGCATGAAAAGTTAAACAAGCATAGAGTAATACTTGCATAATAGTACGTAAACTCGCAAATATTGATTATAGCGCATAAAGCGCCTTAGGAGCCGATTTTGGGCGGGAAAACCAAAAATCCTTACAATGACTTTAAATAGACAGCAATGACAATGAATAATTATCCCGTGAGAGGAAATTGCTCGAACATAGACTATGGCGCATCTGGTGAATAGAAATCAATTTTAAGCGGGAAAATTAAATTCTACTAATTCCTGGCAATCTCTCAATTTTTAATTTTCCCGCCTAAAAGATATTTCAGCGGCACCCGGTACGTAATCATTAATTTTGACGTAGTTTACCCTACCGGCAAGATTATTTGTGGTATATAATTAAATCCATGCAATGATGCAATTCATCAAACTTTTAGTTTTCTCTCCCAAAACGCCCATTTGTGCTACATGCGAGCAAAACAATTTCTCTAATCTTATCGTAAAGCGTTGTTGAAATAAATTGGTGTCGAAATTTCCTTGCAAAAAACAGTTTTCACAACTCGGCGTGTTGGCTAGATATAGCCACTTGGCTATAAATTTATTTTGCATCCATTTCTAATATTATTTCCTAAGAGACAATTTATCTTCCCGCCTAAAGGGCGGGTTCTTGACTCATAACTCTTGCTTTGCTTTGCTTGGAGAGGCAATGACCTAATTTTTTTCCGGATACGACACATAGTCGTAGGCCGGTGTGAACGGAAAATACGCCACATAGTCGTATCCGTTGTCAAGGGTCAATACGACACATCGTCGAATTCCGGTGCCAAGGGAACCGGCGCCACATGGTCGTATTCGGTGTAAAGGTCAAATACGCCACATAGTCGTTATAGGGGCGAAGTGGTTAACCATTGCTAAAGCAAAAAGATTTTTTTTTGTACAAGTATTCCTATTTTTCGGTATAAAATCTGAGCAAACATGACAGAATTCGCTACTGCCAATCCTAAGTTACAGTAATTATCTAACTCCACCATTAATTTAATTACAGGTTTCCTCCATCTATTCCTTACAATAACCATTTTGAAAGAAATGTAGGAAGATTCGGATATGCCTTGCTTTCTCCCATCACCACGATTTACGCAGTCCTCGTTACAATCGATTACGTCATAATTTTCTTTAAAGCCCCCGCGTTGGCGGAATGGCTAAATAATTGGAATGCCATTGAAAATGAAATGCAAAAAATGGGCCTTCCCCGTGACAAAATTAAAATTGATTCATTTCTCCTCTGGTTTATCCCAACGTTCGAATTTGCACCAGCCCTAATTTTTAAAATCATGGAAACAATAGGGCGGTTGAATATTGGATATCCGATTCACTGCGTACTAAGCGTCGTTTACGGATGTCTTCCATACATCTGTTATGCTATTGAAGATTCGAAGGCATTGCTGATGCTGAAATGCTTACAAGTTGGGTTCCTTCAGGTGAGAATTGTCATAGTCGGTAAACGCTATGAATTTATTTTTGAAGAATTACAAATTTAACTTTTCCTGCGACCATTAATTTCGCACAAACTTATGTACGAAATCTTGTTCACCATTAGTTTCTTCACCCTCAGTATTTAATTTCGTCTTCGTACATATTTACCAGGTCCGCAGTTATCTCGAAGAAAACTTGAAAGTCCATCACCAATTTCCTATTGAAAAAATTCACAATCTTTTGATTAATCTTCGTCTGCAAACGCAAAATTGTGGCGATTACTTGGCCACTCAGCAACTCTTTTCCATCTTAATGACGTTGTATTCCACGGGGGTGTCATTCTACGCATTTGTGGCCGTTATGTCGAACGAATCGGTCGGGGGAGGTGCCGAGAAGACAATTCTGTTGGTATTTGTCTCTATTTGGCCATTGTACGCGAGGAGTCGACTTTATACGAAAGTTTACATTGCGGTGAAAATAACTAAAGAGGTTTGGCCATAATTTTCACAAATTTATATTTTTGCACAAATTTATCCTGCGAGTTGATGCTTTAAAAACAGGAAAAAAGGATTGCGGACATTATTAAATTTGAGAAGCGAAAGATGAAACGAGGAACATTCGGGTCGGATGAGTACTCTTCCGAGGTAAATATTAACATAAATAGTCGATTTTTACATACACATAGGTACAAATGTATGCAAAATGGCTCAAAAAATAGATGTGCATTATACAGCTACAAGAAGTCTACAACTTATTGACCCTTGAACCTACCGAGGTTTCCTTCAATGACTATGTGAAATTAAATAACCCTTTAATTTTGGGGGTGAGTGGTATTTAACACGATATAAAAATAAACCCGTATATGTTAAGCCTAAAAGTATGCATATGCTGAATGATACTTAAATGTTGCAGGTGTTTCAACAAATTTTTACCCTCATCATTATTCTCATGCAGTTTCCTAAGTAACGCACTTCATTTCAGCACGAGATCAATTATTTCAGACTAGTTGTTGTTCGGATTGCGAGTTGAGGCACGGAAAATTCTTCACAAATCTCCACAAATTACGAATGAATTTTGGTTACGAAGATCCACCACACGTACATAAATGGAATTATACGTATCTTCACAAACACTTCAAAATATTTATATTTAAGTAATTATTTATCGATAAATTTGATCTAATTTTCCCATTATATTTTGTTATAAATTGTTAGCAGATTCTTGTATCTAAATAATGAAAATGTATGTAAACGTATGAAATTTGTTCATGAAATTAGGCAAATTGGGACTCTCTGTTTTTGACTTTTGCTTCTCGGTTTCTTTTACACTACAAAATGCAAGACCAACAAATATATAGAAGCAATACGCTCTTAGAAGTCTGGATATATTATAGTCAGGTAGGTATTGATTTCTCGGCGTTAATAGTGCTACTGCTTGGTACAACAATTTATTAATGAGTAGCCTGGTCGCTCCACAAGTAGATACATACATACATACTCAAATATTAATGACTTCCGAGCATAGCAAGTAATTGGTCAGTATGAGACGATTAATGTTGTTATTTATCTCACAAATTTCACTCATGATGAATGGGTATTGCCCATTGTAAATATTTACATGCACGTATAAAAATTTTTCTTATGTACTAAATTTCACATGAAATATTCTACATTTCCACATGTTATGTGTGATACAAGGAGATATGTATTAGCCAACTAATGAAATACATATGTATTGCAGAGATCGGAAGTAATTAATGAAGCTAATGCGCTCTATTTTTATATATCACTATTCACTAGGTAAGGGAACGTTCATTCGTAACCTCATAATGCAAATTTTTGTTTTTTTAGATATCCACCCACCTCCAGTTTAACGATATCATTGGGCTTAATCATTCTTCGTTGAATGTCCTCTAAGCACTCACGCTGCCAAATTAATATTTCCAATTATCATAATAACTAGATAACTACTATAATCCAATTTGCAATTACGTCAGTCTTTGACCATTTGGCACTGATGGAGATGACGTTCCTTAAGAAGTTCGTTCCATCGAAAATTTTTCCAATTTTCCAACGGGCAAAATCAATCCACCCAACTATATCGCCAGGATTAAGCAAGCAACTCGTCAATTTTTTCAAATTCTCCCGCTACTTTGCCCGGTGTCCGTTAGCGTTTGAAAGTGTGCCACGTAAATCACAGATTAATTTTAAATTCAAACCGCTCAGCTCATCATTTTGTATCGCATTAATTTTTGCTCTATTGCTGAATTTCTTATTGATCCTTGCTCTACTGAAATATGACACTTTAGTCCGGCATGACATATTTCTAGGAGGAGACTTGTGAGTATATATACTGATATTCTCTCGTAATTGGTGCATATCAATGATCCCATACGCAACGATCTGTGACTAAAACGTTACATAAGCTTGTCATCGTCCTCTGAAATATTGTCAAAGTATTTTAATTTTGGCAAGTCTTCAGTTCAAAATTTTTGTGAATTTGACAGAACACGGGAAAAATTCTAAAATCATATTGACACACTTTTGACAAGAAGTTATTGAATTTAACGCGAGTCTTTAATTTAATTACAGGTTTCCCCCATCCAATCCATACAATGACAATATCGAAAAAAATGTCGGTACATTCGTGTATGGTTTGACTTCGTCCATCACCACGATTTATGCAGTCCTGGTTACAGTCGATTACGTCATAATTTTCTTTAAAGCCCCCGAGTTGGCAGAATGGCTAAACAATTGGAACGCTATTGAAAATGAAATGCAAAAAATGGGTCTTCCCCGTGATAAAATCAAAATCGATTCATTTCTCCTCTGGTTTATCCCAACGTTCGAATTTGCACCCGCCATCATTTTCGGAAGCTTAGAAACAATGTGGCGATTCGATATCGGGTATCCGATAAACTGCTTGTTCAGCGTTATTTATGGGTATCTTCCATACATCTGTTACGCCATTGAAGATTCAAAGGCACTGCTGATGCTGAAATGTTTACAAGTTGGGTTCCTTCAGGTGAGATTTATCATGTAGACAGTAAACGCTGGAACAATTCCGAATGTTAAGTGTTCCGGGGGGAATTAAATTTGAACAAATTTCAGTCAAAATTTTTTGAGTCAAATTTATTGCTAATAATTGCATCTTTGCGCATGTTTATCAGGTTCGAGGTTATCTCGAGGAAAACTTGAAAGTCAATCACCAATTTCCGATGGAAAAAATTCATCATCTTTTGATTGCACTTCGTCTACAAACGCAACGATGCGGCGATTACTTGGCGACTCAGCAACTCCTCTCAATTCTAATGACGATGTACACCACGGGGGCGTCATTCTTCATATTTGTTACTGTGTTGGCTAATGAGTCCGTCGGAGAAGGGACCCATAAAAGAATTGTTTTAACGTTTGCCTCTATTTGGCCATTGTACGGGATGAGTCGACTTTATGCGAAAGTCAGCATGGCGGTCAGGATAACTAAAGAGGTATGTGCATACATAGTTATGGGCATATCTAAGTTTCAATTTGGCACAAATTTATCCTGCATTGTTGATGCTTTGTAATCAGGAAAAAGAGATTGCGAAATTTATTAAGTTAGAAAATCTAAAAATGAAACGAGGAACATTGGGATCGGAAGATTACGCTGCCGAAGTAAATATTTATTCTATTTTTTAACTATTTGCAGTCGATTTTTACATACATACAAACTAGCTTAAAGGATATATGAATATAAGTATGGATTCTTACGTATTCATTTGTACTCATTTGAATTATGCAGCTACAAGAAGTTTACAACTTGTTGACCCTTGAACCCACCGAGGTTTCCTTCAACGACTATGTGAAATTAAATAACCCACTAATTTTGGGGGTGAGTTGTATTTATCATGATATACATGTAAAACTGTATATCTAAAGCAAAAAAGTTTGCATATGCTGAATTACTTTAATGTTGCAGGTGTTTCAACAGATTTTTACCCTCATCATTATTCTCATGCAGTTTCCTAAGTAACGAACTTCTACACAATGTCAATTACTTCACACTATTCTACGACACTATTCTACTTCTACGACAATCGGAGCAGCAAGAGTTGAAGGCACCGAAAATCCTTAAGATCTCTAAAAATGACAAGTGATTTTTTAGAAACATTTTTGAAATCGTTCATAAATTGAGTCATACCTTCCCAAAAATAGGAATAATTGTACATAAGCATATGTATGTATTGATTCTGAAAGGTTGAAAATTGGCTGAGGAAAAGTAAGACTTCATTTACTGCACAAGCCGTACGTATGTATTAAATTCGTTCTGGAAATGAGGCAGATTGAGACTCCCTGTTTTTGACTTTTGTGCTCCTTTATTCTTCAGCTTCTTTGAGATAATAATGTACAGAACTGTTCTGTACTTACGTACGTTTTTATTCACAGGGGAGTCACTCCAAGTCAAAACCTTCGATTGGAGGAGAGTCATGAGAGCGGAGATGTTGCCTCTCCACTCCGAGCGACACTACTGATGGTGGTGCTCGCCAGCTGTGGGCGTAGCACGGGTTGTCGTTTTGTATGTTGACACGGCCAGGGCTAATTTTTTTAAGTTATAGTTTTTGAAGTCAGCTTTCAAAATAATCTTTATGGATGTGACACTAGAATTTCGTCACTAAAAGTTTTGTTTACGCCCCTTGTTTTTCTATCATTTTGGGAATATTCCCACCCATAAGCTACCATGTGTCAGTAAAATCGCAATAACTTCTTGCCCCCACTCATGTTTGGCGTAAATTTTTTTTGTTAGTAACTATTTAGTCACTAGATCATAATTTCAAAAAATTGAGAAAAACATGGGTGGGGGCAAGAAGTTACAGCGCTTCAAAATTGTCATTCAAAATTTTGAAAATTGCAAATTTTCAAGTTTTGAAAATTTTATCGAGTAGATTACGGCAAATAAAATAAAGTTTAAGTTGAAGTAAACTGTGTCAAAAATCTGGTGCACTTGATATTTAAAATGCAACGCGGTTTTAAAATTTCGAAAAATAATAATTACTCGGCCAATATTTGAAATTAAATTTTAATTTTTTGGACGGTAAGTTCCTTTTCATACTGGAGATTATTGATAAATTCGAGGACAAAATCTAAGACCTATGCCGCAATTGGAAACAGGCCTTCAAATAAACTGAGTCAGGGTTGATATTAAAATTATACCTGCCTGTAAAAATTTTCTGTCAATATTGTGAAACTTTAATCCTAAGCAATTACTACAGTGAGGATATTATTTATCAATGTCACTTTCGTAGAGTCACATACGTAATGTATGAATCCTTCTTGGTATTATTTTAATACTTGATTTCTGAGTGTATAACCATAATAAATGTACATTTGTACATAAATATTAATGACTTCCGAGCATATGGTGCATTACAAGTAATTGATCAGTATGAGACCATAAATATTGTTATTTACCTCACAAATTTCACTTGTGATGTATGCTTTATTAGTGTCCATGGGAAATACATATATAATTGTTTCTTACGTAATTTACATATGTCACGTGAAATACTCTGCATTTCCTCATTGTATGCTACAAGCAGATATGCACTGCAAGCGGAAATACACCCATTACGGAGATCGGAAGTTCAATTAAGTAAATTACTTAAAATAATTAATAGGTTTATATGGAACTCCACCCATTGCACTCTATTTTTATGGACCACCATTAAGTATGTAGATAAGAATATTTCCAATAGCATATTAACTGAGCAAACTAATCAAAAGTGCTATTATATCCCTTATTGGTCATTTGGCACTAATGGAGATACCATTTTCTAAGAAACTTGTTCCATCGAAAATTTTTCCAATTTTCGAATGGGGAAAATTACTCCACCCGCCCACATTGGCAGGATTAAGCAAACAACTCATCAATTTTTTTAAATTCTCCCGTTACTTTGCCCGGTGTCCTTTAGAATTTGAAAGTGTACCACATAAATCACAGATTAAATACAAGTTTAAACTGTGCGGCGCATTATTTTGTTTCTCATCCATTTTTGCCCTACTGCTGAATTTCTTATTGATTCTGGCTCTACTGAAGTATGACAGTTTAGTCCGGCATGACGTATTTCCAGGGGGAGATTTGTAAGTACCTAAATAGACAAATTCACACAAAACTGTTACGTAATAATGATCCCATCATACGCGCAGCCACGAGAGTTGTCAATATAATATATGGGTGGACATTCCATATAACCCTCATGGCGGCGCCTGTGGATCCTATGTATTTATACTGCATTCGTAACGGTTTTTCACTGAACCTTAGAATAAATAATGGGAATGGCATCTTTCTCTGAAACATTGTCAAGGAATTTTGAATTTGGCGGACAAATGTTCGGTTTAACATCGTTGCAAACATGACAGAACACGAAAAAATACTAGAAAGTTGATGTAACTGTGAAACCAAATTATTTCAATTAATTAACTCCATCCTTAATTTAATTACAGGTTTCCTCCATCTAATCAATACAATGACGATCTTGAAAAAAATATCGGAAAATTCGTGTATGATTTGACTTCATCCATCACCACAGTTTACACAATTATCGTTTCAATCGATTACGTCATAATTTTCTTCAAAGCCCCAGAGTTAGCCGAATGGCTGAATAATTGGAATGCTATTGAAGATAAAATCCAAAAAATTGGTCTTCAACGTGATAAAATTAAAATCGATTCATTTCTTCTCTGGTTTATCCCAACGTTCGAATTTGCACCCGCCATCATTTTCGGAAGCTTAGAAACAATGTGGCGATTCGATATGGGATATCCGATTCACTGCGTATTAAGCATCATTTACGGATGTCTTCCATACATCTGTTATGCTATTGAAGATTCTAAGGCACTTTTAATGTTGAAATGCTTACAAGTTGGATTCCTTCAGGTGAATAGAATTATCATGCACACAGACAGTAAACGCTACACTCTTAGAAATCCAGTATTAAAATAATATCAGGCGGTATTCATATGACTTTGCTAAATTGGTGCAGTACAGCTCGGTATTAAAGTTTTTCTGTGTAAATAGGTAACAAATTTGCACGAACCTACATATACATATAATTGGACTACCAGGTCATAGCAACTTTAATACCGAGCAATCAATACCTTCCTCACTATACGAGGCTTTTAATAGTGCACTTTTGTAGAATAATTGAAAAGTTTCATACTTTGAGTTTCTCGGGCCAATTAATTTGGAACAACTATGAACTCTTCTTCAAAATTTGTTCAATCACCCTCACTATTTAAGTGTTTATTTACATACATATATATGTATCAGGTGCGCACCTACCTGGAGGATGAATTGAAAGGAAATCACCACCAATTTCCCATGGAAAAAATTCATCAACTTTTAATCGAGCTTCGCCAGCAAACGCGACGTTGTGGCGATTACTTGGCGACTCAGCAACTCCTTTCGATCCTGATGACGATGTACACCACGGGGGCCTCATTCTACGTATTTGTTGCCGTCATGTCTAACGGGTCAGTAGAGGAAGGTACCGGAAAGACGATTTTGTTAACGTTTGGCTCTATTTGGCCACTGTACGGGATGAGTCGCCTTTACGCGAAAGTTTGGATGGGGGTGAAAATAACTAAAGAGGTATAAACATAATTTTCACATATCGTCGCCGATCGTGCTAACGTTTCCGGAAGTTATCATCTACAAAATCAGCTGTATACAAAAGTTGTCGGACCAATTTTTGGGAAATGTGAGACTTCATAACCATAACATAGTGACACTTGTTTCCTTATTTTTATCCGACAACTTATGTTACCACATGGTCTTTAATGCGGAAGCTTCTGTTTCTGACTGGTCTCTCAACCTACAACCTTTTCACGAACAAGGATGATACACATCCCGCATAAATGTATGCTTTATATTCATAGGAAAAAGAGATTGCGAGAATTATTGAATTAGAGAAACTAAAAACGAGACGGGGAACATTCGGGCTGGAAGATTACGCTGCTGAGGTAAATACTATATATATATGTACTTAACTTATGTATTTCTACAAAATGGGTAAAAAATATATCTTGGTATGTATACGTTTATTAATTTTTACTCATTTAAATTATGAAGCTACAAGAGGTTTACAGCCTGTTGACCCTTCAACCCACCGAGGTTTCCTTCAACGACTATGTAAAATTAAACAATCCACTGATTTTGGGGGTGAGTGCCACTTAAAACGACATATGCATAAATCCGTATATCTAAAGCCCAAAAGTATACATAAATATGCTGAATTAAATGTTGCAGGTGTTTCAGCAAATCTTTACACTCATCATTATTCTTATGCAGTTTCCCAAATAGCGCACTCATTTACTTTTGCATACCTTGCTAATTAGTTGCCCAACAACTGTGGAACAACGGGATGTGTGTTATAATTTACAACTTCTTAAAACCTATGCATATGCATCGTTAAGTACAAATCTATGTAACAATCGTTAAGACATTGTTTAAGCCCTGGATCAAAATTGTGGTCACTTTTGTATGACTTTGAAATTACTTTCTAGGGGTTGGGTTGGAAATTAGGAGAGTTATTGACGCACAAAATATCCGTTAACCTTTAACATAACCAATTATTTTTATGAAAAGTTATTAGCGATCGATATTTATCCTTACCAAATTAACTAGATACATTCTAAACATTTCCTTAGATGAGATATATCTCATCTAATAAAGGGAAACGTATACGTTTGCAGATTTGTTTTCAAGCTCAGTTTTTATCACTAATCAATTTATTTTTTCAATGAAAACTTTTCACCAATAACTGCGAATAAAAACTTTTGCCACATTAAAACATACTATACACATAAACTAAATTATGTATGTACATATATACATACATGTTTATGCATGTACATTTAAACACAAATATATTAAATTTATATAATGTACATATCTACATATCGACATAGATAGTATGCTATTTATTTATCTTCAAAGTTCAAAGGGCAAGGAGAGGTGAATATTAATGATTTATCTATGTACTTACTATATGACGCATGGCAATTAATCAGACTGAGACCATAAACATCATTATTTATCCAATGAACTTTACTCCTACTTTCACTCGTCAGGTAAGATATGTCGAGTATTCGTTGTATGTGTAAATATGGAGATACTTAATTGTTTCTTAAATACATTCATACATACATACGTATTTTATATCACATGAAATAATATTACGAATGTATGTATGTTCTGACTATATACGTACATACATATATTGGTACATGAGGCTTGCAGATACTGGGTTAATAACTAATAAAATGTATATTTAGCATACAGACACCGGAAGTTTAATCAAGTGATCAATAAAGATAATTGAAAACTCCACCCATTATATTTTTATTGATGGCACCATTAAGTGGCTGCCGTATGAATATTTTCAATTATTAAATGAACCCAACGACCAATCCTTCTTGATTAATCGTTCGGATATGGAGCTAACATTTCCTAAGAAAATCGTCTCATCGAAAATTTTCCCGATTTTCCAATGGGGAAAATTACCCCACCCACCCACATTGCCAGGATTAAGCAAACAACTCGTCAAATTTTTCAAATTCTCCCGCTACTTTGCTCGGTGTCCTTTAGCATTTGAAAGCGTGTCACATAAATCACAGATTAATTATAAGTTCAAAGTGTTCAGCGCATCATTTCTTTTCTCCTCAATTTTTGCTTTACTACTGAATATTTCATTGATCACTGCTCTAAAGAAATATGACAGTTTATTTCGGGATGCTGCATCTCCAGGGGGATATTTGTGAGTGCATTTATTACCAAAGTGGTAATAAGTTCGTATCCTTAGTATTCCTCATACTGTGTAATAAGTCACGAAGGTTTTGTAAGCGTCGTAAGATTTTGTCGTTCAAAAACCACGTCGCTAAGGTTCCGATATTTACGAAGCTTGACCCCTTGTTTTTTTCGCAAATTATTTTACGATACTAAGGACATGAACAAATAAAAACCGACCTCACTATTTGCATACTTCGTCTATAACCTACTTATATAATTTCAGTTGGCCACCATCTAACCGATACAGTGACAATCTCAAACGACATGTCGGAGGATTTATCTACGGTCTCATTTGCAGTGTGACTACAATGTACACAATAATCGTTACAATCGACTACGTCATAATTTTCTTCAAAGCCCCCAAGTTAGCCGAGTGGCTAAACAATTGGAATGCTATTGAAGATGAAATGCAAAAAATGGGTGTTCCCCGTGATAAAATCAAAATCGATTCATTTCTACACTGCTTTATCCCGACGTTTGAATTTGCTCCTGCCCTCGTTTTTGGTAGCTTGGAAACAATATGGCGGTTCGATTCCGGATATCCGATTCATTGTTTGTTCAGCATCATTTATGGGTATCTCCCGTACATCTGTTATGCCATTGAAGATTCGAAGGCACTGCTGATGCTGAAATGTCTACAGGTTGGGTTCCGGCAGGTGAGAATTATCATTATTTACACGGTAAACGCTGTTTGGTTAATTTAAAAAAAATTCAAATTTTAAGTTTTCAAACTTTAAGAAATTTTAACATTTAACAAAAGTATAAAATTTTGTTCAAAATTTGTCAAATCACCCTCAGTATTTAGGTGTTTATTTGTATGCATTTACTTATCAGGTGCGAAGTCATCTCGAAGCAAATTTGACAGCCCATCACCAATTTTCAATTGAAAAAATTCACCATCTTTTGATCAAGCTTCGTCTGCAAACGAAGCATTGTGGCGATTATTTGGCGACGCAGCAGCTCTTATCGATTTTGATGAGTATGTACACAACCGGGGTGTCGTTCTATGTATTTGTTACCGTCATATCTAATGAGTCACAAGGGGAAGGTGCCGAGACGACAATTCTGTTAGCGTTTGCCTCTATTTGGCCACTGTTTGGGATGAGTCGCCTCTACGTGAAAGTTTCCATGGCGGTGACGATAACACAAGAGGTGTAATTTTCGGAAACTTACATACATATACATATCTAACATTAAGTTATCCTGCGTTTTTGATGCTGTATTAACAGGAGAAAAAGATTGCAGGCATTATTAAACTAGAGAAACTAAAATCAGTCGGTTCGGGAGATTACTTTACTGAGGTACATATTGAAATAGTCAATTCTTGAGAATAAAATGACTTGCAATATGTAAATATATCTATGTATACATATTTTAAATTTTTATTTACTTGAATTCAGTTACAAGAAGTCTACAACCTGTTGACCCTTGAGCCTACGGAGGTTTCCTTCAACGACTATGTAAAATTAAACAACCCCATGTTTTTGGGGGTAAGTAGTATTTAACACGATATATTTATGGATTACCGGTAAGCTGCTCGCGCTCATGTGCACACGCTCATCTGCTCACGCTCATCCGCACACCCTCGATTGCACACCTACACATTTTGCACACGAATGATTCTGCACACCCTCAACGGCACACCCTCAACTGCACACGTACACATTCTGCTCACCAATCATTCTGCACCTAATTATTCTTTGTTAAAATTTATAAGGGTTATAACGATGGTCACAAATATTTTCGTCCCAATTGACGAAACACGCATTTTACACGGAATTTCCTTCAGTTTGTTGAATAAGTCGTGTATTGTGGTTATTTTGGTACATGTGTCGATCCTTTCATTCATGCATGTGTCTTATATAGGTAAATTAAGGCATTCATTTAATCCAATATATTTTCGGAATTTAGAAGTATTCGTACCAACTTACATAAGTAAATTGTAATAAAATTTTAACCATAGATAAATTAAGTGCTCAATGAGTAATGGGTTGATATTTCAGTTCAAATATGAGAAGAGTGAGTAGCAGCAGATGAAAATGTACCTCCCATATTAAGCATGGGCGAAAGTGACCGCTCCGCATGTGATTAAAGTGGTCATAGGGTGACCAAATTTTATTTTAATACGAAAATTTTGTCACACCACTGGAATTAAAACAATACGTCGAATTTATATAATTTATAAATTTATATCACTTACCTATTTATAACTTGTAATTGGCTTGTCAATGGCAATATTACACTGAACCACCGTCATTAAATATTAGCAGCAATAATTTTACTAAATTTTTTGTAAAATTATTCTGGCAAATTTAGTCCTAGGAAAAATATATCCTAGGACTAGCATAGTCGAAACCCCTCATACATAAATATTAACTAAGAATAATTAGGTGTGCAGAATGATTGGTGAGCAGAATGTGTGCGTGTGCAGTTGAGGGTGTGCCGATGAGGGTGTGCAGAATCATCCGTGTGCAAAATGTGTAGGTGTGCAATCGAGGGTGTGCGGATGAGCGCGAGCTAATGAGCGTGTGCAGATGAGCGCGAGCACAATGTAGGACACCATATTTATGCATGTGCTTACATATGTATGTATATGTATTCTGTAAATCCAATTAATGTGTGTATGAACCACAGATATATAGTAGCACAGATATATACTTGTATATCTGTGGTATGAACATACTCGTACATATGTAGAACCTATGTACATATGTAAAACCCTATAAATTAACCGACCGGGTTTTGATCAGGCCCATCTGCAAAATGCTGAAAATCTTAATTCTAAGTTTTTCACTTGGGGGAAGTCAAGAATATACCTATATGTGGCGAGATCAAGCTACTATTTTGAAACAATAGGGTGAAAATCAAAGGTCATAATTTTTTGCATATGACCTAATAAATATGGTAAACAATAATTTTTTTGTTTTGGTGGTGCTATTTTTATAATTTTGGACCAACTCAGATGTGTGGAACACTTCTACATATGCAATTTGCTATACACCCACAGTAATATTATGAATAGTGGAGTTTTGAAATACTTCCCCACAAGTAATGTTATAACTTTCCAAAATTTTGCTTTTCATAAAGTCACTTCTAGGGTGTAAAAGAAATTGCACAGAGGTGTTGAAAACGTCAAAATGTTACGGATTTGTTAACTTCAAAACTAATTGTACGAGTGGCTGAAGTTAGTAGTGGAATTTTGGTGGTTAAAGGTAAAAATTGTGAGATCAGAACCTGGTCGGTTAATTTTGGTTTCCTACTGTATCTAAACCCTAAAAGCATACATACATATATAGATATTAAGTCCAAATAAATGATTGCAGGTATTTCAACAAATCTTTACCCTCATCATTATCCTCATGCAATTTCCTAAGTAATGCACAGGTCAACACGCAGGTAAATTATTTCAGATTAGCTGTATGACAATCCGAATTCGGAGGAACAATAAGTGAATTGTAGGTACAGAAAATTCTTAGAAGCTATATGGTACGTAATGCCACAAAACGCCTAAGCTAATGGACTACTCCTTACAATGGGGGCAGTGACACGTGCATTTCCAGATGGTATTAAATAAATCAGCTTTAGTAAATCGTGCACAAATTGATAAGTCAGTAATATTTTCACCAACTGATCAAAATAAATGTATAAAACTATACTCATGTACAGTGGGTTGCCAAAAGCATTGGTGGTGCATTTTGCGCTCGGTACCGTGTTCGATATTTTGTCCAAGGGATAACCATTTCGCCGTGATTTAAAGTGAAGTATCTTTGAGTTGAAAAGCCATTAAACAAATGCATACATAAACTGAACAAAAGTGGACGGAATCAGTTCATCATGTAAGAAAAAATAACTACATATTCAATGTTGGTATGATAATGGCAAGCCGGCGATAAACTTAAGATTGCATAAAGTTTCACGTTGTACAATTGCATACATACATACTTGTATGTGCATATTTTCGCTTTCATATGTACATACTAGATATGTACCTTCATCTCTGCACCCTTCGTCACCAAGGTACATAAAGAAATTAGTAGTCATTGCTAGGGTTGCCGCGGGTAGCGAAAATGCTACCCGTTACCCGACCCGCTACCCGCAGCACAACTACCCGTACCCGCACGGGTACCCGTGCGGGTACCCGTTACCCGCTACCCGTTATGAGAATTAGGTTAAAAACTAGCCACGCTTGAGAATAAGTTGGATTTGATCAATTATTTGTTCATTTGAGTTGATATGTACTTTGAGATAGTGCTATGCAAGTAACGCATGCCTTTTGGCTTACAATTGGATCGTTTTTCAAGTTATGTCGGTATTTCTTAGCGATTTATGCATATCAAAAAATTAAACCAACAAATAGGAATTACATTGCACTAATTTGTCCATTGAATGAACAGTTTAAAGGAAACTATTGCAGAGTTCAAAGTCCACCATGGTTTTTGTCCATTGCAGGAAAACGATACAGAATATTTCCTTAAAAATTAAACTTTACAGCCAATGTTATTCTTCGAAGAGGCCATTTAAAGGAAAGATAAGTATCACGTGATTCCTAATTTTTGGCTTGAGTTTTTGATAAAAATATACTCGCTGTGCAATTTTGGTTTAGCTTGAAAAAGGTTCAATTTTTTGTTGGATTTTTTCAAATTTTGATTTAACTGAAGTTTTCATTCAAAAAAATTGTCTACAAATACATTTTTTGCTTTCAATCGGATTCAAGTTTTTCATCCTCAAAGAACAAATTAAAACCTCGGCAGTCTTACATAAACAAATACACACAAATACAGGTCAAATTATTACTGATATCTTAGAGCAGGCAAACTATGCTTGAGAAACAATATGTAATTATTCCGCATTTTCTGAACGTGAAAAGTATTTTAGGCCGGCATAGGCTTCTGTGGTTTCCTTAAAGATACGCTGGTTATAAACGCTTGTTGCTGGCAAATGACAAATTTTGAAATGGAAAAATAATAAATTGACGCTTTTGTGCGTAAATGGACTAACTTGCTGCTAACTTTCTTTGTGAACTGATTTACGTTGAAAATTAAATAAAAAACTAAACTACCCGTTACCCGTGCGGGTAGTCCTCGCTACCCGCAGATAACGGGTACCCGCAAGAATCGTGCGGGTATGCGGGTAACGGGTACCCGACCCGTTACCCGCGGCAACCCTAGTCATTGCTCCTCTGCAGATTGGCGAGGTTCTGCCCGTGCATTTAATACAACCTAACGACATTTCGAACTAATCACGAGTTATGAAACGGTCTTGAACTTTGTGAAAAGCAGTTTGGAATATATGTATCTACATATTTGACCTACTTTTCTGGTTAATTGTACGTATAAAGTCTACCTGAACAAAGGATTTCTTGTTAGCGTTGCACTCACCACCAGTTTTTGGTCAAGATCGCGCTCTCCAAGTAAACACTCGTGAAACACATCGGTTTGCGTCAATCGGGGAAAAATAAATAAATAATCGTGCATTGTGTCAATTAGAGAGTTGAATTTGTTATCTTGTTGCTTATCATAAATATGTCGGCTGTTCATGTACGGAACGGGTTTAAAAAATATGGAGGCGGAAATTTCGTACTTAACAACTTAAACGTTAACGTCGATCGGGGGGAAATGTGAGAAAAATCAAGCAATTAATAGATAGTATTAGTTTCATCGGGTTAATTGAATCCTCTAATTTTGAAATGACTTTAGCTATGCACTACTCGGAGCGAGCGGTTGTGGGTAAGTGTCAATTAGCATTTATTGTATTTTTTGCAAACTGCTAGACAGGATTTCTTAACCGATACACTTTTGTATTCATGTATGCTTAGAGATTGAAAATGACTTAAATAATGCACTTATGTATGATTACATTATTTCACCTGAATAGTATTTGAGACAAGGATAGACAGTAATAGACATATTTATAAACTACCTACATATTTATACATACCCAAGTATATGTGTAATGCGTATGTACGTAGAGACAACCATCGATGGTCAAACTTATTTAATTTTAGTACCTATATCAAAAATTTTGATTTAAAACAACAACTCATGATTCACAAAAGATATGCACGTGCTTCATTCATAGCTGGCACTAAATTGGTCCATGATCCATCGATGCATTTGAGTCGAAGATCATAGTCCATTATGGGCCAATTTTTTTTTGGTCCATAGCCCAGTTGACCATGGTCCATTGCGAGCTATGATTTCATTAGGTTTGTGAAAATGTTCATGACTAGAAAATTTTCATTGAATTTCTGTATGCGAGCTAGGTAATGTGTGACTTAGCAAATTGGAATTACCAAGGGAATTTCTACGAACTTAGGAAATGAATTTCTTGCAATTATACAAATAAGAAGTAAACACCCAAGTGTATGATGATCAGCCAGATTTGACAAAATTACTACCCGAATCCATGGGAGCATATTACGAAACTGCTCCTTTAATGACATGCTGATAAATTAGCTCACATGTGTATTTAATCAATTAAAAATGTAAATTTAATAACTACTCTGCGCAACATTAAATTGTAACTTTGTACGTGTAGGAAGACCACCTTGCTCTCTTGCATAGTCGGGCTTCGTGAACTGGACATGGGAGAAATCACACTTTTTGGTCAATCTCGTCCCCACAATCTTGCTCAAATGCTGGGATACATGCCACAGGTTTCGTCATCGGATAAACTTTATGAGCTTATTATTTACTTAATTAAATAATTCTCACAGGACAGTGCGCTTCTGAACTTGCTAACAATCGTGGAATCGCTGCAGTATTTTGCAATGATTTATGGCATGGATGAATCTGAGATTAAGAAACGGATCGATTTTCTCACCGGTTTCCTTGATCTGCGCAAAATAAATAATGTAGTGCGTACTTTGAGGTGAGAATAATTCTCTAAACTGCTAACTTTTATTACTACCAGTGTTAGTGTTGTTTGTTTTGTGAACTCCTGTCATCTAATAATAATAATATTAGCATAATTTCTTTAAGAAATTTTCTTAACTTATAGTATAGATAAATATGCAAATGAATATATAAATATGTATGTATGTACCAAAATGCCGAAGCGGTGGACAAAAAAAGCGAGTTTCACTGGCCATTGCGATGATTCATAATCCACGAATTCTTGTCCTCGATGAGCCCTGCGTAGGGCTGGATACTTTGTTGAGACAAAGGTATGTAAAGATTAGCATATTATGACAGATAAGCACCACCTCCAATATCCATAATCTTGCAGGATTTGGGGATATTTATCTGACCTCTCAAAAAATTATGGGGTCACCATAATTGTCTCGACACATTATCTAGAGGAAACTAAACATTGCGACACGGTAACAAATGCTTATGAAAATGAAAACCTGACATAATTTTTCACTGTGAAATACAGGTCGGGTTGATGCGTGGAGGTCGACTACTGGAAGAGGATAACCCTAGCTCATTACTACGTAAATGCAAAGTTGAAACCATGCAAGAAGCGGTTTTGCACTTGTGCAGACAAGACGAGGTTAATTTATTTGCTGAAAAATTTGAATCTCAAAATGTCACCAAATTGGTCTCAAGTGCAAGATTGAGTATTAAAGCGTCGAGGAAAAACAATATCCACGCCATGTGCCCGCCACGTGCTAAATCAAACCACGCTAAAATTATTCAAGCCCTTAACCTCAAATGGTTGACTCGGCGCAGGAGAGATTGGAGGTTAATGCATTTATTTAATGTATTTCTTGATTTAATGTATCTACATAAAGTATTCAACTAAATGGAAAACATTTTTATGAAAATTAACGGATTGCTTAAACATGTTAGGTTATTATTTGGAGAGCTGATTTGTCCAATTTTGCTTTCGCTGATCTTCAAAAATATCGTCGGACCCGAACCACACGGAGTAAAATTTGGGATAATCCACAATGATCCCAGTTTCAATATAAATGATCCAACTTGTAATTACAATAATGCGACAAAGTGTTTCGAAAATGTGGGACTTTGCGACTTTCTGCAGAACTTTGAAACTGATAAATTTACCTGGGTAAAAAACATGCTATCTTCACCAGTAATGAGTTTTAATTAATATGCAAAATTTACAGATTCATGTAAACGCATACCACGATGGCATCCGTTTAGTAGAAAAGGGAGATCTTCTTGGGATAGTGGAGTTCCCCGCCAATTTTAGCCTGCACATGAGAAATAGAATGTTACAGCGCAATTTTGCAGATAATAAGACAATAGATGGGTCCACGTTACCAGTTCAAATGGATGAGTCAAGTAAACCTCGTTGATTTAATGACTAAAATTACTACTTAATTATACAAATATAAATGAATTTACATGCTCATGTACATATGTTTATCAGATAAAATATTATCTGGTTGGGCAAGGAAAATTATAATGGACAAATACCTCATGTTCATCGAAAACATTGCTGCGGCTTGTTCTTTCAATGTGAGCATTTCCAAACCAGGGCTGCAGGTTAGTAATACCAAACAGGCGATAATAATTACTTTTTTTAAAGTAGATGTACATTTGTACTTATATAAATATTTATTTTGCTAAAATTCATATAACTCAATTCAGTTTAGAGCGATTTATGGGAGCATCGAACTATTTGATGTCATCTCTTCTTTCAAACCTGGTGTAATAATGTTGTAAGTAAATTTTGTGGGAAAATTCAAATTAAATTTGTTGACGTCTTACTTTGGTTACAGACACGTGTTTTTGTTCCCAATGGGAGTTGCCGTAATTTGGATGGAAGACCGAGTCATCGGCTTCGAGGGGAGAGAATATATTGCCGGAGTACACCTCTCGCACCGAATTATTTCGGCTATTTTCAGTCAAAGTTGCATAATTTTGATACAAATTGGGATATTCCTGGGGGTAATGTACAATTTTTATGACGTGGAGATCAAAGGCTCGTGGGTACTGGCAGTGGGTTTGATTTACTCTTGTGGCATAACCGGGTTGATATTGGGTAAATATTGTAAAGTTTGGAAATTGAAGAGTGATTTGTCTAGATAAGCTTGTTTTCAGGGGTTATGATTGCCGCATTGTGTAACAGGATGCTTGACCTTATCTTCATACTAATCATGCTTGCTCCAGGACAATTATTTTGGACAGGTACTCGTAAATTTTTCCATATTCGTACACTGTGCGGTACCACCCATTGTTAGGGCCTGTAGACGAAGAGTTTTTGAAGTTGGTAACGATTTTTTAACCGCAAAAAAATAATTGTCTGCGGACTCAACTTCTTACATATATTCCCCGGGACAATGAAGTGACCGCTCGTAAAAAATCGTTACCAAGACGTCGTTTAGTGTCCCCGCCTGGTGATAATGTAACTATTTACAACGAACGTATTTATTGCTGTCATTGAAACACAGGAGCAATATGGCCTCCCGAAATGGCACCATGGATTGTTCGTCAAGTGTTCGCCTTCGTACCGATAACCCAAATGATAAAGGCGCTGAGATCAATTTGTACGAGAGGATGGGGGATTACGAATCCGGTCGTGGCAATGGGTTTCCTCCCCGCAGTTGGCTGGATAACGGTTTCCTTGATTGTTTTAGTGCTAGCAGAGCGACGGAGATATAAGTAGACGAAAATGTACATACACATTGGTGTCTATGTATTTAGGAGTGAATTACGAATATGTGTCAAGATATTAAATTAAATTAATCTGAAAAAATTCCTCACCCGTCACTTAGGTCTTAAATAATCGGTTAAATATAATTACCGTGATGGGATATTTTGAATTCATCTTAAAAATATATATATTTTAAACAAATACAGTACGAACCAAAACCGTGGAGATGCGCATTCTATGTACTTTCTTTATTCTTCACTTTACAACGTTAATTCTAACAACGCCTTCACCGTGTAATCGATTATCGCCTGGTTGTATAAACAAACAAATTCTTTGTTTATATTCATCCGCGTTTCTCTCCCTAATCCGACATATATTTCGATAGGTTTCATGGCCTTTAATCGTTCCCGATGAATTTTTCCCGCCACCGCGCCCACTCTTTGCTCAGCATCACGCATCCAAAACCTGATCAATACAGCACTTAATTCTGTACATTCAGCTGCAAATCTTAACACTGTATTTAACACGGTTGTGAGTAGAACGACTATAAATGGAAATATTGGGTATAAGCTTATCGGCAAATGAGTCCTCATCCGTACGGTGACGACGTTGCAGATAGTAATTGCAAGTCCACACCCAACGAGCATGCCCAGTGCAATGACGGCAAGGTAAGGACCGAGTCTGGCGAATCCGATGACAATCGTGTTATACATGATTATGTAAATCCTGGAAGAAACGAATGGTAAACATTTAATTCAGTTCAATCGACTAATTTTATAAAGGGGGTATTCACAAGTTGTGAATCACAATGAGTTCGCATGTTTGCATCGCGACATGATTTTATTTTTAAAAAATGCGAACTAAATACTACTATTGGAAATAGACAAGTTGGCAAATCGAATTTCAGGCCAAAGCGTTTTGCCAACTTGCAAACATTAAATGTTTGCTGAGGTTGTTAACTATGCGAACTTGAAATGAGTACCCCCAATAATGGCTATATTATTGAAGACAGGAGATTAATACACACGAGACCCTGACGAAGACAACATTTGCTGTAGAAAGCTTGGTCAATTGAAAATAAAACTATAAAGTTTTGAAAGTCTGGTCCTCATAACCGTTTGAAAATTATTTTAATATTGATATTGTTAATTAATCGTTTTTAATTAATCCACGGAGTTATTAAATTTTTGGCAATCGCGGTGTGGTAGACGAATAATTAAAATTTAACAGAATACAAATTGTATTCTGATAAATTATATTCTGAAAATATTCTGATAAATTGTAAAATCATCTAATGTAAAATAATGCTCGGTCATGTCATCATGAATAATTAAGTACTAAATTAGTAACTATAGTAACACATTGACTTACCTGACATTCCGGATCCAAACTACCCCTTCATTTCCAATGGCGTCATAATCCTTCCCCAACATTCGAATATTATGCTGTAAAAACCATGCGGGAAAGATAAATATGCACGCCACCGCGAGCAATATCTTACTCGCAGAGATCACCGCGGCCGTCAACATGATCAAGGAAAAGGTCTTAAATCCTAAAAACCTGACGAGTTGATACCTTCTCCAATCCGGCCGGAAATATCTCTCCACCACAAAAGTGAGTGGATCTAGACCATTGACCACTGCAAAAATTGCAATCGCTGGCGCCAAGTAGAGCGCAAATAGTGGAACATATCCTAAAACTTTTGCAAATAAGGCTTCTTTCGGGGTAAACTTATCTCGGTAGTCTTTTGCCCTGTGGTGCACTAGATTTCTACGGGTGACTAAAACCTGCTCCATGTCAAACAGCGAATTTACAGTGTGCACAATTTCTCTGTTAAATAGGAGAGCAAAAAATGAGATCGAGATGGCGCCACCACATGCGAGCAGAGCCACGGCGACGGATAATACTTGAATTGGGGTAGCAAATCTATCCCCGTCAGGATAGTGGCCAAGTTGCAAATATTTTCGCACGATGTAGATAAATTGGGCGAATTTTGGGATTAAGACACACAACCCCATGGTAAAAATGCAGCCGATTCCCCATCCTAGCAGTTCTTTAAAATTACGGATGGCAACGATGCGGTGGGTCTGTCGGCTCCAAATTATGGGAAGTTTTGGGAATTTCTCGAAAGTTTTGTAATATGAGTCTACAATTTGATAAATGACTTGGGCCATTTTGTGCAGGGAATGGTTTTCATGGGAATAACGGCGAGTATGGGCAAGTAATCTTTCTCACTTGAATTTCCATACTGTGACGTTTCTTCGAAGAAAACAGTTTGATAAGTTAATGCTAATAAATTGGGAAATTGGTCCTACTTAGGATTAGTTGTTCTAAGAATTTAAATTTAGGGTGAACTTTTCCCCAGTAATTCCAAATATGCATGCACATACCAATAGATACAAATGTTCGAATTTTGTGAGACAATTCATTCGCTTTCTCTAATAAACGTGTATGTATTCGATAACTTTTATAAGAAAATTTATAAGACTGCGATATATTCTTCTAGATCGGATTTAAATACTTATGTGATTCAGTCTGTGACGCAGGGGTTAAATATTTTAGTACGTATTTATGTAGATTATTTACTGTAATAGACACAAATGCACGGATTCGTTTACGGTTTTGTAGCGTAGCTAGGTTTTTAAGAAAGCTTATTGAAGAGCTATGAAATTATCATAAGAACAATAATATGGGTTTTGTAACCCAGATGCATAGACGTAAATAAATACATATAAATAATACACAAATTAAGGATTTAGACTCTGCCTTTTAGATGTTCACATTAAATTAAATTATTATGGGGGATTTTGTTTTTGTAGAGTTGGATTAAGGAAGAATATGTAAGCATTATTTTCAGATCTACATAAATACCTACATACTTGACAAAACATTTCCATTAATTGTTGTACATATGTACACTGTTAGAAATCTAGAATAGTCTCGCATGTATTGATTTCGGCATACATACGTACATAAAATTTGCTACCGCTTGGTATTCCGGACACCGGTCCGTAAAAATTTGCCACACAACTGGTAAAGTTTAATCCCGAGCTATTACTACACGACATTACTTATTGGTACCACTTTGGCAGGGTCACCTACATTATACATAAGCTGGAAATGTTAGTCTGTAACGCGAGCAAGCAAGCTAGGCGTTATTAAAATTGCTAAAAATACGTGTTTCGTGAAAAACTGTATGGTAGGAAGCTGACTTTTTTGATATTTGTCTTCAGAAATTTTCGAATTTTCCTTATACCGATCAATGGCAGAAAGCAGATTGTAATGATTTTCGTAAAAAAAACTCAAAAATAGAGACCTGGTTGAAATAAATATTAGTCTCTTCTATGAAATCATGGAAATTTAATTATTTTCTACAAGATATACCAATAAATTCAATATCGTACTTGAGGGACTTTTTTAAAAATCATGGTCTCCGTGAGGTTAAACAAACATAGTGATCAGCTACTGATAGAACATTCTTTCAAATCTGGCTTTACTGTGTTCCATTCTCCTCCAATGTATGGAATTGTGGAACAAACTCCATGCAAAACGTCCATGCAAAATTTTTGGCATGGCTCAGCTAATATAAACATGAAACGAATGTACCTCACTGAGCTTTTTGCAGTTAAGTAATTCTGGTGTTAAAAGCTTACAAGACAGTATTGCATTTAACATGCGATAAGAAATATGTTGTATGTACAAGAAATCATTAAAAATGGGTTTGTACATATTTTAACATGATTTTTTATGAAATAATTTCTGACTTTTTTCACGATGCGAAAATATTTCCACTAAAATAGAGATTCTTCAAGTAATTGTTCTACCGAGATGAAATTTTTCGCTATATTTTTTTCATAATTTAAAAATATCTCTACAAAAATTTAAATAGGCAATATTATAGATTTAATTTTAGATTGTTTTCCCGTAAATAATTCTACCTGAAAATGAATATCGACAGTTTGTATACATATTTTGCATGATTTTTCTACGAAATAATTTGATTATTTTCATGATGCAAAAAGATTGCCACTCAAATTGAGATTTTTCATGTAATTTTTCTACCGAAATGAAATTTTTCGCCCTAAAGTTTTTTAACATCGCACTTGGTGATTGCCTGTGCCTTTTAGCCTGCCGATATATCCCACCTTATGACAAACAATCTCTCTCACAGAATATCTGTGATACTTCAAATAATTTAAGGTTTGGATGAGAGCCAAGACCCTCAAATACAATTTTAAAACATCAACATATTCTATAATTTCTTAATCTTAAATACATTATAAATGTACTGTATACACGCCGATCAATCGTCAAAAATCGAGAAAAAAATGCTTGAAGAATGCAAAAAGCCATCAAAAAGGCATGCAAAAAGCCAAAGGGGGTTTGAAAAGGATAAAAAGGCTGCCTTATTGCACACAGTGACGCAAATCATTACGTAAACTTTGGAAACAATTGCCTTACGTGGCCATCGGCACGTAGCCCGTTCGAAGCGCTGCCATTGTTCCAAAATAATGGGAATGCTATTTACACATGTTTGACGTATGCAAAATTTTTGCACACGGCTTGTTGGAATTACGTGGCGCGCGATTAAAATTTTTGCACACGGCCGTACACAGGGTTTCACACGAGATTTGATGTCAAAATCACTATGGTTGATATTTTATGATTTTATTTGGATAGTTTGGATATGGTGTCACCCCCCCCCAGTCGGCGTCTGCGGGTGTGCGTGTGCTAAAGGGAAATGTGTTTACAGTGTTTAAATCTCAGGTTGCAACCCATTCATTTTCATTAAGGTGGAATTGTGTGCAGGTGTTTGTTTGTAAATTTTCCTTCTTTCAGGTATTCAAATGCTCAGCCTGTCGGAATCGGTAAGTTCAATATTTGCAAAGAGTCGAAGTACTAATTAAATTCCCAAGGTGTAATAATTTTTTGAAATTCTTCAATTTGACGACCCCACGTCATGTATTCAGGCTATTTTATTTCACAAATGAAATGTATTTCACAAATGAGTCTCACATTTGACTAAGTTTGTATGAGCTCCAGTCATACCGCTTAAATTTATTAAAATTACCCGAACTTTAGCACATTTTGAGCAAAAACTCCCAACGAGCCACCAAAATATTAAGTGTTACTGACATTTATGGTCATGAAATTATGCAATTTTTAAACTACTCTAAAGCGACATGGTCACAGCACGTATTTAATTTATCGGTGGAACTTGTTTA